CTGTCTGTCTGTCTGTCATTCTATCTATCTATCTGTCTGTCTGTCGTTCTATCGTTCTATCTATCTGTCGTTCTATCATATCTATTATATTTATCTCTTCATCCATTCATCCATCTTTCCGTCTGATCGTTCAGTGGAATTCTCATGGATATGACATCGCTAAGGTGTTTGGTCCGAAGCTGACGTCGGTGTCTCCGGTGTGGCTTCAGCTCAGACGGAGGGGACCAGAGAGCTTCCACGTCACCGGTCTTCATGACCATGATCCCGGTCTGATCACTTCCCTTCCTTCATAAAACAATGATGCTTTAAGAAGAAAAAAGCCAAATGATTTTCTTTAAGCACTAACGATGCTCGTCTTTTCACAGGTTGGGTCAAAGCTGTGAGGAAGGCCAATAAAAAAAACAAAATACGTGAGTATGGATTTAATGTCATTGTGGAAGACACAAGGTTAATCTAGCTGAAAGCGTCAGGTTCTCAGTGTGGTTTCTCTCTCTCAGTTCCTCGGCTGTTGTTTGATGGATGGTCCTATCAGGACTACATGAGTGTTCTGGACAGCGAGGATGAGATGGAGGAGCTGGGTCGAGAGGCGCTGGAAGTGGCAAAGGTGCTGTATCTACATGCTGTGTTCACGTCATGTTGGGATAATCATTTTTACAGGATGGTTCCTGACTAGGATCCATATTCCACTTCATGGGACTTGGAGTGCTCAGGTTTTTGTTAGTTCCCAGTTTTGTTAGTTATTCAGTGTGATTTCACTTTTGTGTAACCAAGATATATATGTATGCTGGCTAATCTGCTCTGATGAACTTCATTTCATTTCCTCATCGCGAGAATCGTTGACTGACTGTGATTTTTCTCATTAGGCTGAAGGGTTTGATGGTTACACACTGGAGTTATGGAGTCAGCTTGGAGGAAATAAGAGAAAGTGAGTAAGAATATGTGCGTTGGTATTGTTTACTGGAACTGTTAAAAAATGTTTTTGATAATTGAATTAAAGCCGAAATAAAATATGAATTGGTTGGAAATGAGAAATATTGTCCTGGCAACTAACTGAAATAAGTATTAAAATAAGTAAAACTGAAATAAAAAATTAAGTTGAAACAATGAAATAATGCAAATAAAATAAAAAAAGAAAGATCGAAATATTAATAATTACTGAAATTATATTCACGCACTGTTTTTCAGTGGAACCCCACTTGACATAAAATAAAATATTTAATTGAAGTGAGATTTTAATTCGATTTTAAGTAAATATTTCAATAATTTAACAACAACACATTTTAATTGTGATGTAGCATGTAGGTAAAAAAATATATATATACAGTGGGTACGGAAAGTATTCAGA